GATGGTTTCATATTAATATAAGTAAACATATATCTGTGTTCTCTGGGAGAATATTTTTGAAGACTTTTCTGGAAAAGAAGTCCAAAATGTGAAAAGTTTACAGATGGACGAAGAAAACAAAATGTGATTAGAAAAGATAACTTGAGCTTTACATTCAGGTGAGCTAAATTTCATATTTCATATTCTGGATCTCTTTGATAATTTGTTGATCAAACAGCCTCCTTAAAAATTAATCTTAAAATAACTTTAGGTGTATAGAGAATGTACATGATGTACAAAAAACAAAATAATATAAATAAAAAACAAGTTTGGAAGGATATGCATGGCAAAATCAGAGATGACTCAAAACTAAATGTTAACAGAGCTAAACCTATAATAATAATAATAATAATAATAATATGTATATATATATATATATATATATATATATATATATATATATATATATATATATATATATATATATATATATATATATATATATATATATATATATATATATAACAAATTATAAAGAAAGAGAGAGAGAGAGAGAGAAAAAAAAAAAAAAAAAAAAAAGCATAAAAGGATACATCCTCAAAAATGACACTTAGAAAAAATACAATTAAGAGTAATAAATGAATCAACAAAAAGCTGGTAAGAAAAAAAAACAAATGAAAAGAGAATTATGTTGAAATATTATCATTAAAGCTGAACACAACTTGTAAATAGCAAACACCATTTTCGATATTATCTATGATACATGAATACCAGGGTATACTTGTCGCATTTGTTACACCTGACTGCTTTTTTGTCATGGGTATCCGCATGGAATGTTGACCCATGTTAGTGCTGGTTATCTAATTCTTGCCTTACCTTTATTTACATTTCTTGAAGTCACTTTTATCTGTGTTGTTTGTATACTACACTGACCTGTACAAGTATACTGGTAATTTTGGGGGGTATTTTACTTTCCTGCATTAGAAGAAGTATTACATTATTCTGGCAACTGAGTGCTGTATAACATATGTTGGTCTGAACCTGCCCTGAACACTGACTAAGTCCTAGCCTTTTTATAGGGGTCGAGAGAGTAGCGAGAATCGGGAACAAAAAAGATGGACACATTCATTTTACGAATCATGTTCAGTTTTAACATATGTATGTTTGAGAAAAAGTTACAACTAAAATTTTGTAAGGTCATACATCTTTGGAAAATTTGGCATGATCTTTTATCCTACTTTAATCTGTGTTACATATCCATAAGTCTTTGATAACTTGATCTGTATTGTGTACAAATTTTTTAAGAAAACCTCACAACAAAGGAATCAATCATTTCAGGTCATCTTAGCATTAATGTGTGTGCTGGTTATCTAATTCTTGCATTATCTTTGTTTACATTTTTTGCAGTCACTTTTACCTGTGTTTAACATCTTCCATGCATGTCTAATCAATATAGGACATAGAAGTACTTAAAAGAAAACTGCCCCAAAAAACTTAATCTTAACCCGGGACGCCGAAGCCGAAGTTATAACATAAGCTCCCCCAACTTCATTGAGGTGAGCTAAAAGAAAAATACATTATCTATAGATGGATTGACAATAGTTAAAAAAGCTGTCTAATGATTCTTCATTTCTTTTGGTTCTGTATGCATCAAATTCCTTCTTTGCTTTGTTAAGCATTGATGTATCTGCACAATGAATTTTATCGGCAAGGACTATGCTTTGCATCAAAAGAAGTGGCCCAGTAACCTGAGCAGGATAGGGCAAAATCCCTAAATAGTAAAGCCCCATCATTGAAAGAATTGCCTCTTCTGCACCTGAGCACTTTAACAAGACATCCTCCTTCTCCATAACCATGGTGGACGTTCTGTTTCCTATAGTATTATGTAAAATCCAGAAACCGCTGGACGTCCTGTGGGACTGCGCTACATCTGTCCAAATTTCTGAACTCTAGATAAGATGTAATTATGAATAAATATTAAATTACATACATATAAGCAAATTTTTCCCCTATCAGATTCAAGGGTAAGATGTTTCTGTCTTCAATGTCATATATAAAATATTTATTGATTGTTATGATTTAGGTGTTCAAATGTGATTTCTGAAAATTTAATAATTTACCTTGACGACATGCACTAGATGGTGACCAGGTTTTAACTTCCCCCCAGATTTTGTATTGCCACAAAGTATTGGGAGATGGAACAATGCCACTAGATATTTTTCATCTAAAAAAAATTAACCATATAATTATTATCAATCACACTGGAATTTTATACTTTCTACTAAAATTTCTTTACACCTCAGTAACTTCCAAAATGTACAAAATACCCTATTTTTGCAAAATAAATTAATTAGCAATTAGTGAATTACATAAAAAAATGTATTAAATATTACAAAAATTATTCAAACTTGGTTTTCTGACATCCAGCAAAATGCCAATCAAAGTTGGATTGTGTTTGCTTATTCTTGTTCAATTCTTGATGCATCATACAAGAAAACTATCAAATTAAATTTGATTTACATGTAAATCTAGGACTTGCATCATACTTGCTATGATTACCTGTGGTTGTCAGTGTTGATCTTGCTACTTTGATTATTCCTTTCTCAAATAACATGTCTAAGGATGTGGTTAAGAACTCGTTTAATTTCCCTTTCATATTGTCCATTTCAACAGGTACCTGTATATACATGTTGTAGATGACCTAAAATTTAAAACATATTTTACAAATCAAAACTTCACCCCAATCCAAATTGCTAGCTGTTTAATAAGGTAAAAACCTATAAATATTGAATACTTTTGTCATAAAGCATTGCATCCTTTGTTATATCTGACATCACAATTTAAAAGCTTCTGGAATGTTAGCATTTAATTTGAAATTTGCAGGAAGAAGAAAGAAACAAAACAAAAATTCTCAAATTTATTGCTGAAGAACTGAGGCTTCATAGCAAAATAAGAAATTTAAAATGTTACTAGTAACTATTATATAATAAATCCAATGTCACTGTGCCAAAATGCTGTTTTCTCAATATGAAATGATGATTTTAAGTGAAAACTGTCATACTAAATAGTTGAAAATGGAAGTACTGTATACATATGAAACTTACATTGGCTGGACAGCTGAAAACTTTGTAAAGTCTCATTATTGACTTTAAACGGTCCTTTAATGGCATGGCTTCAACCTCCTTCACTCTAGCCTCCAGAGATAGTCTGATAAGTTGCTGAATATCTTCTGATGTAGTTGTTGTAGATATTCTTTTTAAGGCATTCATCAATGATACTTTACCCTTGTCTACAACCTCACTCTTTTCTTTAAAAAAAAGGTTGACATATACTGCTATATTTATCTCAAGCAATCATTAAAAATATATTTTGTTTGATGTACTCCAACCCACATTTTTCAGGTGGGTAGGTTGTTAGTTTTTTGTTTATCAAGTTGATAACTGTCATAAAAAAATCACAGACTCAGAAATTTATTGGTATTTTCAATACACACTGGATAGCTAGACAGAATTAATATTTCATTGCTATGAAACATTTCTATCTTAGAGAAATTATATATCTTACCTTTAAACTAAAACAATCTCTATTTCTAATGCAAGCTAAATATAAAAAAAATAATAAAAATTCAAAGTGCTGAAAAAATAATTGAGTAAGGGTGATTTTGTTGGGTCAGTCGGAGTACATCTAACAAATAATTTTTTTTGTAAGCCTACTCACAGAAATTTAAACAAGATTTTATCTGCTCTATGTGCCATTTGTTCTTTAAGCAAAACTAGTTCATGTATTTTCTGCATATTCATTTTTACCTTTTTCTCTTTGGCCTTTTTCAAGAACCAATATCTCTGGCTCTCCATCCAATGGATAATTTCCCTTGCTGCCTCCTTCCTGAACTTCTCCTTCCCTGCCTCTCTTTCTGCCTCCTTCCTGAACTTTCCCTTCCCTGCATCTCTTGCTGCCTCCTTCCTGAACTTCCCCTTCTCTGCCTCCCTTGCTGCCTCCTTCCTGAACTTTCCCTTCCCTGCCTCTCTTGCTTTCCCTTTCTCTGCCTCCTTCTGCCTCCTTCCTGAACTTTCCCTTCCCTTCTCTTGCCCTCCTTCTTTCCCCTTCTCTGCCTCCCTTGCTGCCTCCTTCCTGAACTTTCCCTTCCCTGCCTCTCTTGCCGCCTCCTTCCTGAACTTCCCCTTCTGTGCCTCCCTTGCTGCCTCCTTCCTGAACTTTCCCTTCCCTGCATCTCTTGCTGCCTCCTTCCTGAACTTCCCCTTCTCTGCCTTCCTTGCTGCCTCCTTCCTGAACTTTCCCTTCCCTGCATCTCTTGCTGCCTCCTTCCTGAACTTCCCCTTCTCTGCCTTCCTTGCTGCCTCCTTCCTGAACTTTCCCTTCCCTGCCTCTCTTGCTGCCTCCTTCCTGAACTTCCCCTTCTCTGCCTCCCTTGCTGCCTCCTTCCTGAACTTCCCCTTCCCTGCCTCTCTTTCTGCCTCCTTCCTGAACTTCCCCTTCCTTCCTCTCAAGTTCTTCTTGCTCTTCTTCATTATCTTTCAATTCTTCTTGAAGTTCTTCAGAATTGTTTTCCCCATTCTTTTCCTATATAAATATTGCAAATTCTAAGTGAGACATGACTGCAATTTGTTGCAAATATAAAAAAACTGAAATGTATTTTTTTTTCAATAAACACATGCATAATTAATTTCAATTATATTATACAATACTTATTCAGTTTTAATCATACACTAAAACATCAATTTGTTTTAATTACATTACACCAATTGAAAGATCTTTATCTTAACTACAGCCATCAAGAACTCTTAAATAAACACAAGCAACTATAAGGCCATTTCTTTTTGCCCAACTCCCAATAGATAAATTAAGATAATACAGCATGATCAGATCTAGAGATGCTCTTGCCAGTTAACTCCCGACAATGAACTCATTAATTTCTCTCTAATTTGACATGCACATTTCTGCTATCAAAAATTTTCCTTGACCAGTGCTTCATAATTATGCCCATATGGGACAAACTGAATTCCTCTCAAATCATTAACATTTGTTACAGAATTTGTTGTAAAGTATATGATGAAAAAATAAGTTTTAACTTAATTTTAGCATTTTTTGATAAGGATACAACTATATTTTTACATTTTTTAGGATTATGAAATTTAAAATTTTTAAAGACATAGTTTTTTTTAAAAAATCACTTAAATTAAAGGTCACAGTGACCTTGAAATAGGTCGTGACACACCGTCTATCCAAGATGCATAAATTGTCCAAGTTTGATGACTGTAAGTCTAATAGTTTTCTAGTTATGAGCCAAACAAAATCACAAAATAAAAAAGAACAAGAGGCCCATGGGCCACATCGCTCACCTGAGTAACTTGGGTGATGCAGATCTTTTTAAAAGATTTGTTCTATATATATTTTTATGTTAAACTTGGATTCCCCATTGTGGCCCCGCCCTACACCCGACGGTCATGATTTTAGCAATTTAATATCTACACTACCAAAGGATTCTCCCACATAAGTTTCAGCTTTCCTGGCCAAGTGGTTCTTGAGAAGAAGATTTTCAAAGATTTGTTCTATATATTTCTATGTAAAACTTGGATTCCCTATTGTGGCCCCGCCCTAACCTCGGGGGTCATGATTTTTACAATTTAATATCTACACTACCCAAGGATGCTTCCACATAAGTTTCAGCTATCCTGGCCAAGTGGTTCTTGAGAAGAAGATTTTTAAAAGATTTGGTCTATATATTTCTATGTAAAACTTGGATTCCCTATTGTGGCCCCGCCTTACCCCCGGGGGTCATGATTTTAACAATTTAATACCTACACTACCCCAGGATGCTTCCACATAAGTTTCAGCTTTTCTGGCCCAGTGGTTCTTGAGAAGAAGTTTTTAAAATGTGATATATTTCTAGTTTACAGACGGACAATTTAATATCTACACTACCCAAGGACGGACGGAAGAAGTTGAAAATGTGAAAAGTTTACAGACGGACGGACGGACGCCGGGTGATCAGAAAAGCTCACTTGAGCTTTCAGCTCAGGTGAGCTAAAAACTCCTGTAAAATGCAGAAAAATCATCCAATCATGATGAAAATCCCAGACGCACACCTTCATATGGTGAATAATAAGTGTATAAATTTTCAGACAAATCAATCCAACAATTTCTGAGAAACAGTCCGGACAAAATCTTGTCTACAGAGGAAGGGACAGATGGACAGACCGACGGAAATGGTGATTCCAATAAACCCCCCTAAACTTCATTTGCGGGGGTATAAAAAAGTCTTAAAAGACCAACCATATATACAGTGTTTTGCGTTTACCCCTCTCCCTTACAAATAGATGAAATATGCTTTCTCAATCAAAACAAACTATATCTGCCCATTCTTAAGGGCTTAAAGGGGGAAGGGATTTTTGGTTACATCAACAATGAATCGGGCTTCATACTCATTTTTACCTGTTTTTTAATGCAATTATATCCTTTCTTCCTTCCTTTTGTGGAGACGGGTGGCGTGATGTTGTACATCCTTCTCCTTAGAAATCCCACCAATGAATTCTAGTCCATTTTTAAGGAAACAAAAAGAAATCAAAGGTAAAAAAACTGAAGTTATTATAAATGATCATCACTTTTAAGATTTTAGAGATTAAAGAATGTAACATAATTGCTTACATAATTATTTCGAAGCCCCTCAGATGGTCTATCCCTAAGGATTGGATATTGACTGGCCATCTGTCTTGCTAACATCTGAAGTTCGGCCTCTGATGGCCGACCTCCATTTTGGCCGATCAAAGAATCCATAGATATTCTGACTATGCGCCGTCTCTCTGTCTCAATGCTCTGCTTAGAATGGTGGGTTGGATTATCTAAGATTTCAGACTTTGGAATAAGGTACATGTAGTCATCAGTTGTTGCAAGCCTCATTGATGCAAGCTTCTTAGGCCTTTGTATTTGTGGTAAATAAGGTGGTGACGCTGACCTTTTTCTTTGGAACTGGGGGGAATCTGAGCCATCAGCACCATCATCATTCTCATGCTTCAAAGTAACGTCAATTTTGTGTAAAATTTTGTGTAATATTAAAAATTATTAAATTTTTCTGCATTTAACAAACTTCACAAAAAATTTGGTTGTGATTCTGGAGAGATACTCCAAGCTGCTCACTTAAAATCTTTGTGGGTCATTCTTTGTGGCTCATATACAATTCTCTTTAGAAAGTTAAAAAACATTGATCTAGGCCAGGTCTGATACAATCGCTAGATTTAGCTAGTTGCTACGTAGCTTGATTTACCTACTTAGCTTCATTTACCAACCTGATGTAGCTTTATTTGGCTACCAAATCAATTTATTTCTATAAAAATGCATTTTTCTAAGGGTGTAAAGAAAATATCATTTTGATTCAGAGATCATTTTCAACTTTGAATTCATCTGAAAACAATTCATAAAACAATCCCTCTGGAAGAAATTCTTTTTCAGCACAATTGCAATCAAAGTTCTGAAAGTTTTGGGGCTATGTATGACAAAACAGTTACTCCTTGTATGCAATGACAAAGAAGTCCAGTTCCGGTTAACATGATAGTAGGTTGATAATTATTCAGCAAAATGTAAAGTTATCATACCCAGCCTTGCCTAGCTGCACCCATGAGAAAGGACAGTTAACCAAACTATGGAATTACATGTTTTGCTCTAAAATGTCCAAAGGCAGAAATTTATAAACCATCTCTTTGTTTTTTTAAACCTCCATAGTATAAATATTTATAGTCATTTAATTGCGATTTTTTTCTGTCTTTTTAATAAAGAGAAATTTTGAAAAGTTACAATGAAATAGCTAAATAAAGCTCCCCGAGGTAGGTAAATAAAGCTAAGTAGGTAATTCTACCTACGTAGCTAAATCTGGTGATTGTATTGGACCTGTAGCCATGCTTTATAGATTAAAATTAAATTATTCTTACCAGCTCTTCCAAAAATTTTCTAATTTGTTTTCTTATTTTAAATGATGTTGAAAGATCTTTAAGATCTTGTTCATTTAAGTCCAAGAAGGATGTCATTTTCTATCATGAAAAAAAAATCAACATAACAGGTCTAGTACAATACCCTGATAAAAAGATAAGGCTATTTAGCTTTATCAAGGTTTTATAAATACCTTGATCAAGAAAAAAAATCAACAAAAATAACAAAGGTCTAGTATTAAAGGACAATACCCGAATTTTTGATAAAAAATCAGATATAAAACTGGCTATTTAGCAAGCACTAATTCTGATTCAAAGGTACATGGAAGCCACTATCAAGGTTTTATAAATACCTTTTTACACATGATAAGTGTATAAAATATATAAATTTGGTAGATAGGCAAGCGTTTTATGTAAAAGAAAATGTGCAAAATTAGTGAAAATTTGCAAAAAATGAAAATCTTTAAAAATTTCCTGACCTACTGCGAATATTCTTAATCTTAAAACCAGTACTCATTTTGTGACAGGGGTGAAAACAGGTTTTCATGGATAAACTGTTGGATCATTCTGAAAGACACCCAAAATCGGGGGCCAAATACTGGTCTTACCCTATCTTGTCCTTTACCCATACATGTAAAGTACTCAAACACAAAGAAATCAGTACAAAAACATGTCATGTGAGGAGATATTATATTATGCTTTCTTTTTGATGGAACATACTAAAGACCTGATATTTTGTCCTGATAAAACTAGAACTGTCAAAACAGGACAAAATATGTATCAAACATGAATTATGAAATTTTTCTTCCAATGACCTTGAACTTCCCCAAATTACCATGGGTCAAGGTTATGACAACACTTGGATCATGGGCAATCTTTGTGTGAAATGAGAACCTACCAAGTTTATTCATAAGACAGATATGGACCTGACACTAATTATGAAATTTTTCTTCAAGTGACCTTGAAGTTCCCCAAATGACCTTGGGTCAAGGTCATGACACACCCTTGGGTCAGGGGCAATCTTTATGTGGAGTAGTAGATTCTAGCTTTATCAAGCTATATATCTTTATCAGGGTATTGTGCTGGACCTGCATAATGAATTAAGGAGGCTCATTACACCACTTTTTGATGACGTACGTACTACACAAAAAAATAAACCTCCATTGTGTCGACCAGTTTCCTCTGGGGACGAATTCTACAGGTACCTCTATAATATGACCCTGACCTTTAAATCGCTTTCAAAATAGATGAAACATGCGGAGCTGCTTTTCTGTTTCGCCTTATCTGATTAGTTAGATATTTAAACTGTATTACAATCAACCAATCAGATAAGGCGAAACAGAAAAGCAGCTCCAAAACCTCCTCCAAAGCTGTCAATGGAGAAAATCTATGTATCCAATCAATAAATCGTTCCATTACGGGCATATCAAACGGTAATAGCGGGGTTTAGGTTTAAGAGACTAGTAAAAGAACATCTCCCAGACAGATTGCTTGCAATATTATGATAGGTAACACTAATTATTACCTTGGAAATCTGTCTCGAAGTGGGGAACCCCCCGTTTGTTTACAACTTTTGTTTCTTACCTTGTGTATTTTTATTATACCGAATAGGGCCATTTTTTAAACGTGAGAAAAAGTACAATTTGCTTGCATATAACAACATATAGATGTGTTTGACGGGGAAATTTAATATTTTCGAGGTATTATACACTCTTACATTTTTTTTCATTAAAAAAAGGGGGGGGTATTATCCATACTTCAGGTGCCTGTGGTATAACATGTAACGTTAACATTACAAGGTGAAATTTAAAGTTTTTTGGGTGATTAACAAATACCTCCAATTATTGTAAGGATTTCTTCAGAAGCCCCTTTCTTCTTCAGCCATTCACAAATCTTCGGGGGATCAAAATCTTCGAATCCTTCCATATTTTCCGCCGAAGGTATATTTGATGTCATGTGGAGAAAGGACAAATCAATTCGTGTTGAGATTAGTCGCGCAATTCATCTACATGTATATTCACAAATAAGTATTAAAAAAGCTAGTCTGGAAAAATCTTTCAAAAGATACTTAAAATATTATTTTTGTTTGTTTCATCCGTGTTAAATGATAATTTGAAGGTTATTTTGTTGCTTATTCTCTGAAGAATGCAATATACGACTAGGTCTATTGTACGACTTAATATTGATGAAAGGAAGTGTTTACATATTATGAAATATCAATATGGGCTGGAGGTGCTCAATTTGTGTTATTTTCGTGGCAGTGACTTTGCGAATTTTGTTGAGGCATATCTTCTCAGAACATTCACATAACCCGAATTTCCAGGTAGAGTGCGGTGTTTCTGGATGCAAACAAATATATCGTAAATACAATTCTTTGTATCGTCACACGATGAAACACCACATAGACATGATGGATGCAGGTCCTGATGTAAACAACGAAATGAATGACGCACAGACGGATCGTATCATTAACAACAACAACTCGATTGAAGACATGAATGATATAGAGATGGTGAGACCGCTTTTCCTGTTTAATTTGTGCAGGTCCAGTCCAAAGACTATTTCTACCTAAGTAGCTATTAATAGCTACCTATGTATTTAAAGCTACCCAATGTAGCTATTTTTACCTACTTTATATAAATTCTGCATTTTGCGACACTAAGACCAAACAGTGCAACATGGTGAATACCATATCTTTTGATACAAGCACACTAATGATGAATACGACAAAATTTTTTCCAGAAAATGATTACTTCCTCAATCGGTTACATTAGTTTCTATAAGTTTTTATAAAAATATGTTTTTTAATGAAATATATAGTGTAAAAATAAAATTATGTCTCACTTATGGCCAGGTTTTACCTGTTCGCAGGAGTCTGTTTGCGTGGAATTTTTTTCGCCCAATATCTTGTTTGCCCTATGGTTTGCCCAATTCTTATTTATAGATAAGAAATTCTAATATATATACTTGTAAATATGTGAATTATAAACATACAAGGTAGTTTATCATTCTTTCTATTTAGTTCCCTCACAAACTTTTTTTTCCCTCAAATTCTGATAAGAAGAGCAATGTTTATTTAGTCAAAATAGTTTTTAATTTTTTCAAAGGACCAAGTGTTTGCGCTATAGTTAATTAGATGATTAATATCAATGTTAATTAAGGGGATAAATCCGTGTTATTTTTACTAATTGCCCTATGTTTTGAAAACAATGAAAGGACTGAGATGAAACAGTAGGTGTGATGGCTGGTACTATTACATAACGTCTGATGGACACAGTGACGGTCTGTTTTATTTTGAATGTACAAAAAAATTAGGAAAGAAATTCATTAGATTTTTTTCTGCATTAAATTACGGCTAACAGACCCTGTGCGAACAAGTTTTTTGGCAAGCTGACTCTGGGCGAACAAGAAATAGGGCGAACAGGAAACTGGGCGAACAATTGTTAGGGCAAACAAACATGGAACCATTTGTGATTGTCATTGAAGCATCAGCTCAGTATCACTATGAATTAATTAGACTTTTCTTAACTTATTTTAATCAAAATAATTAGAAATTTTTAAGATTTATAACAATAAACATGTGTGCAAAAATTTATATATATTTATTAAGAAAAAATCACAAAGTTGACTTTGAAATCCTACGTTAAAGTACTGTCATTTATATTTATAAATCAGACTGTCAAAATATTTTTAAAATATTGAACCAAGGTATTATGGTTTTGTAGGCTAATGATGATGGTTATCGTGAGCATGAAGAAGATGATTTTGATGTGAATGATGTTGAAAGAGCTCATAGTTTTGATAAACGCAAAGCTGTGTCTTTCATAATCAATCTGAAAGAAATGCATCGGATACGTGAGGTTTGTATTGTAGATATTAGTTCCACATTGAACCGATTTTAATTACTGTGCATAGGTGCACATAGAGTTGAACTCTCATCACTTCTTTTTAGACAGCTGCAGAAGATGTTGCAAGTAGAGTAAACAATATTGTTGATAGTTACATCAACATATTGAAAAGAAGATTATACAATTATATGCAAGGGCTAGACAATGAAATTCCAGAGCACACCTTTAATGATTTATTTCACATAGAATTACCTTTCAATGGTGTGGTGACAGCTCACGAACGAAAAAAATATATCAAGGAAAACTTCCTATATGTTGTGAGTACATAAACTTTTTTCCTTATTTTTGTTAAACATAATCATGATAATAGAATTATGATATTTATTTACTTTCAACAGCTGAATAATAATGATATATCGATAATGCATATGACACTGAGGATTTTGCTGTATTTTTCTGTTTTTCTAAAAATAATTTCCAATTGACTATATTATTTTTAGTTACTAAAAACCTTGATTATGTTCATTTAAAACAATGTAATCTGACAATTATGTATGCAAATTTAAGTTGATTTTGTCTGTTTGAGCAAATATTTATATACTGAACAAAAAAAGAAATGCATAATCACAATAATATGAAATTCTAAGTTTTCAATATCAATGAAAATAGGCAACTGATTTAGAAGAAATCATGAAAAACACTACTTTCATAAACATGTTTAATCAAGGGAGATAATTCAAATCAATACAAGTTTATAGGTCAACTAGACAAGAACTTAAGTAGATCAGATCTTGACCTTTCTTTTTTTTTAATTTAACTTCTGCAGGAACCAGAGAAAGTGCATGTTGGCCAAAGGCTTCGAGTACTTCGGCAGAGAGGACATGCTAACTTGGATGTTGTGAGAGACACATTCATATATATCCCACTTACTGAAAGCATTGAACAACTTCTGCAAAATAAAGATATACTTGAACTTGTTATTAACCAGCCCACAGAAAGAAATGACAGGTTTTATTCCGATATTCAAACTGGTTCTGTTTATTGTCAAAATGTACATTTCCAACAAAACCAAATAGCTTTGCCAATTGTTTTATACTTTGATGACGTTGACATCTGCAATCCAATGAGTAAGCGTGCAGGGACACATAAAATTGGTTTATTTTATTACAGTCTTGGAAATCTACCAGTTTCATATCGATCCCGATTGCCAGCAATACGTTTGCTAGCAGTTATAAAAAGGAATATCATGAATAAACATAATATAAATGTTGTGTTAGAAAGAATTAAAAAAGATTTAGAAACTTTGTCCACTGGAATAACATTGAACATTCATGGAAATGAGTATAATATAGTTGGATGGTGTCTCTGTTTTGTAGGAGATACTTTAGCTGCCCATGAATTTGGGGGTTTTAAAACAGGTGTTGGTTTTGCATTCCAAAAATGCAGAAGTTGTGAATGTACATTTAATGATATGCAAGAAAATTTTGAAGAGCACCTTTTTATTGAAAGAAACTTAGATCGTTATGATGACCAATGTTATGAACTTTCAATGGCACAAACTCTGTCAGTTAGAGATGTCATTTCTCGGTCCTATGGAATCAACTTCAGAAGCTTAGCTCGTGATTTTCCAAATTTTGACTTAACCCAACAAATTCCTTATGATATTATGCATGTTATCTTTGAGGGAGTTGCAGTATATGAGATTAAGCTAGTTTTAAAAGTTTTATTAGATGAAAGATTTATTGTGATTACAGAGATGAATAATTTAATAGAAAATTTTTCCTATGGTTATGCAAATAGAAGTAGTCAACCAACTTCGATTCCAGCTAAAGTCATCAATGGAAATGAAACAACTCTAAAACAGTCTGCTTCAAGTATGATAGTCCTTATGCGGTTGCTTCCTTTTTTTCTCATTGATAAATTAAACTGTCCTTTCAATAACCAGTACATTAAGTTTTTGATAGAGTTGTGTGAAATTACATTGATACTATTGTCTCCAATAATATCTTATGAATCAGTACAAATGTTACGATTTATGATTTCAAGTCATTTAAGACAATTTAAAGAACTGTTTCCAGATAAAAACATTATTCCAAAACAGCATTATTTAATACATCTCCCATCAACAATAGAAAAGTTTGGTGCTCTTTGTAATGTTTGGACAATGAGATTTGAATCTAAACATAATTTTGTTAAGGAAAGGATGGCTGGGTGTCACAATTTTAAAAATATTGAAAAATCTATTTCTGAACGTTTTGCAATGTATGAATGTTCTTTGAATTTATGCGATAAACATCCATTGTTTAACAATGATTGCATGTTTGGGAAAACAAAACCCATTCATCAAATTGAGTACTGTAAAGAGAAATTAGAAAGTTTTTTTGGTATTGATGCAAATCAAGTTAGGTCTATTCATGAGGTAAGTTGGATTTTGTACAAAGGTCAAAAGTTTGTATGTAACCAATGTGAGATTGCATTTGGTATTGCAAATGGCATGCCTGAATTTGGGACTTTGAAATCAATTTGGATTACTGAGGAACATACTGATGACTTTGAATTTCAACGTATTTACTTTAACTTACAAATGTTTGAAACTTTGAGTTTCAATGAAGAAATCCTTTCATATCATGTAGATAACCCTGATATACCTCAAGGAAATGAGCTCATACACATAGATAACATGTTGATTCATTGCCCTTTGCATGTTTATAGGGGTAAGCACCAAAAATGTTATATTCCTATACCATTTGATTTTGTTGATCTGATCCACAAAATGACTGTTACTCACTAAGGAGGCTTATTTGATTACATATTTGCCTATATTTTTGAAATTGCAGTTTACTTATTGTTATTAGCTCAATTGAGTTCAATTGAGCTTTTCTGATCAAAATTTGTCCTGTCGTTTTTAGCTCACCTGAGCTGAAGGCTCAATTGAGCTTTTCTGATCACATTTTCTCTTTCATCCGTCCGTCTGTCTGTCTGCCCGTCTGTAAACTAATTCACATTTTTGACTTCTTCTTAGGAATCACTGGGCCAATTTTGACTAAACTTGGTGCAAAGCATCCTTGGTTGAAGGGGAATTAAAATTGTTAAAACGAAGGGCAAAGTCCCCTCACAAGGTTAGATAATCAAGAAAAGACAAAAAAAGGGTTGGGTTATTAAAAAATCTTCTCAAGAACCACTAGGCCAGAAAAGCTGAAACTCATGTGGAAGCATACTGGGTTAGTGTAGATTCTAAATTGTACAAATCATGACCCCTGGGGATAGGGTGGGACCACAATGGGAAACCAAATTTTTTCATAGAAATATGTAGGAAAATTCTTTAATAATGATGAAACTTACATATAGGGATGCATTCTCAGGTAGTGTAGATTTAATTTTTTTCAAGTCATGACCCCTAAGGGTAAGGCCAAGGCCAGGCCACAATGGCCAATCAAAGTTTTACATACAATATATATAGGGAAATTATTAATACAAACATTTTTTTTGAAGAATAACAAACATCATTGATCATATTTATATGGAAGTACCCTCATGTAGTGTAGATTCAGGTTTGTTAAAATCATTACCCCTGGGGATAGAGTGGGGCTTCAATGGCCGATCAAGTTTTACATAGCAATATATAAGTGAATTCTTTAAAAAATCTTCTTTTCAAGAATCGCAAAGCTATGATAATAGTCATATTCATATGGAAGCATTCTCATGTAGTGTTAATTCAAATTTGTTCCAAGTCATGATCCCCCGCGGTAGGGAGGGGCCACAGTGTAAGTTCAAATGTAAAGTGCAGTAAATGCCACAGGTAGTCAAAGAAATATGCAAGCATTGTTAGTTTGTGTAGATTCAAGTTTGTTTATTTCATACCCTCTCTCCTTTAAGGATTGGTTGGGACCTGCACTTTTGGGTTGTTAAATTTTTCAATAATTATCTGATTTCTGCTTTTTTCCGATTTAGGTGCAGTGCTCAGGTGAGCGATGTGGCCCATGGGCTTCTTGTTTCATATGCAATGTAAAAATCAAACAGGATAAATTATCTAAATGTATATGGACTAGTTTGTTATGTGGGCTATCATGTTATTTATTAAGTTATTTATCTATGTATAATTGATAATATATATATATCCATTATATAATATATATATAATAGTTACAGTATCCAGCAATAAATATTTATAAGAAAAGAAACTCGTGTTGTTTTTTTTCTTTTTTTAAATATATATAACTGTATTTTTTCAGTGGTTCTATTCTACTGATATATTGATCTGTACATCTGATAAAATTGATCTGTACATCTTAGTACATGTTTATAAAATATAAATTGTATTTCAATATAAATATTGAATTTCATCTGATCCAGGGAGCACCAGGCACCCGAGGTGAAGATATATCTATGAGTGTCTCTGCATGAGGAGGCATTACCTCCAGTTTTTTAAATAGATTAATGAAATTAAAAAAAAATATGTGTTTGTGAAACACTATGCAGTCGTCAGCACAGAGTTAAAAACAACTATTTTTACCATATAGGTCACAAGGTACCTTGGTATCATTTGAAAGTACTTGATTAGTGGAGTGTACGTATGCATACCAAATATGAAGTCCCTATCTCTCATGCTTCAAAAGTTGTGGTTAAGATTCAAAGAAAGCTATTTTTAGTATATACGTCACAGCCAAGGTCACAAGGTCATTAAATTTGGTGTAATTTGAAAGAGCTTAATTAATGAGTGAAGTAAGCATACCAAATATGAAGTCTCTATCTTTCATGGTTTAAAAGTTATGTATGGCAAAGCTTAACATTTGCAGACAAAAAAGCTATTTTAGCATATAGATCACAGTCAAGGTCACAAGGTTATTATGTTCGCCAAACGAATTAAGTTGGGGAACATATTGTTTTTATTCTGTTTCTTCTTAATTATTTTTCCTCTTCCTGGGAAAATTTTGTCCAAGATCTTGTAAAGTACACATCTGACTAAGGTAAAACCTATTTAGGGTCAGTAGGCATGTTATGTAGATTTGCCAAATGAAGGTCATTTTGCGCGCACATGCTTGCAAGAGCGTGAACGTGCAACACGTGAAATGACCAATACTCTGTATAATGAACACATGATGAATACAGTCGTAATTTTGTCAGTTTTGATGAAATGCTTTGAAACTCGTAATGTAAGGATACATTAGTATAGTATAGACAAGATGACAATGGTAGCAAGATCTCAAGCGCATGCATGCACTTGCGCTTTGCTCTGATTGGCTGAAACTTACATCTCTATATCTTTGTTGTTTTTTGATAAAATCCTTTAAAATTTTAAACATAGACATACATTAGGGAGATCTACTACCTGATGTATAAGAATTGTCATGAAAGCATGTGCATGTATGTGTACTTGCAAGAGTGTGTACATGCAACATGAGAAATGTCCAATATAATTGATATAGACGTATAACTATTTAAATTTTTGATGAAATGCTTTGACACTCATAATATATTTAAGGATATACATGTATTAGAAGATAAACAAGAGGACATGGTCAAAATGGCAAGACCTCACGCGCACGCACGTGTGCTTTGCTTTGAATGGCTGAAACTAAAGTATCAATATTTTTCTTGTTTTTCGAAAAAATCCTTTAAAATTTTGAACATGGTTATACATTAAAAAGATCTACAGCATGATATATAAGAAATATCATGAAAAGCATGGCACGCACGTGTGCTGATTGACTGAAACTTTAAATCTCAATAACTTTCTTAGTTTTCAACGAAACGGGAATTTAGGATATGAATGGGTGTAATTGATTCCTTCATTATGGTACTATCAAACTGAATGCACGAACATGCATGCGTGTGCGTGAAAGGCGCAAAATGATCCTGAAAAACAGTAACATTTATATTTTTATGATTTTTATTGATTCTCATGCACGATATAAAGTTATGTAAATGGTTTAGACAACATGTCATAATTTAATCATCTTGCATCTGCATACAATGTGTTAAATAAGTTATAGTTGATAGCATTGTAGCCTTTATAATTTTTTGATGAAATCCTTCGATCGATACTAATAATATTTTTTAAAATGTCTTACATGCAGGAATAAGGCATAAAAAGGAATTTGGGGATCGTTTCGGGAACATCTGTAACGGTCCCCGTTACAATTAACACTAGTTGACATTGGTATTATTGGAAAGAGCTTAAATAGTATATATAGCCAGTTGTATACGGGAAGATCCGGGATTCTTGATTCTTGTTTTCGGGACATGCATCCTGATATTTCTTACGACAAAAGAAAAAAAGTTGATACATGTACCGGTAAACACAGTATATGTCAGTCATTAATTAATTTATTATTACAACTTATTTGCATCATTTATCTTTGCAAAATTCCTCAAAACTTTAAAATTAGTAAATCCTTAAGTAATTGACATGTATAAGTAACTCTTTTAATTATTTTAGTAAGTGTTAATTACTTATCTAAACAAAATTCAGTAAAGAGGAAATACAAAGTAAATCAATTCTTTAAAATAAAAAAATCAAGTAAAACATTTCAATCTAGTAATTCACATATGTTTTAGTAATTGATTTAAATTTTTAAGTAAAGGCTTAGTAATTATCTATTACTTATCTTTGTTATTTCAAGTAAAAAATGACTACTAAGTAAAACTTTTTTAAGAGTGCAGAGCCCATATTTTTTGGTCTTATACTTACCCCACCCCCTTTCTTATTTAGAAGGAAATCGATATTGAACAAAAGCAAAAAAAAAAAAAACATCCCTACCTTTATTTTTCTATAAGAAGAAATTAAAAAAAATAATCTACTAATCTACTAATTTTTAACTGTTACTTTGCCACAATACTTTCAAGTATACCTCCACCAACATATAAAGTATGCTTTAATCATGGCGAAGAAAATTATGATATTATAGTACTTGTGTGAAGGCTTAATTTCATTTCAATATTTTATCTAGAACCTCTTTCAGAATTATTGAAAGGTATAGAGTTTTATTTATATTTTTGCTATTCATTTATTATTATTGTTTTGATTTAACGTAATTTCCTGGGGGGGGGGGGGGGGGTAAAATTTCCTCCTTTTTAATTTTCAAATAGGATTTGCCAAATTTAAACAAACTCAAAGTTGAAATGACGGAAAATTAAATTTTTCCTATTAAATCATTTCTAAACCAAACATTTTAAGGAGGAATATTAGAAAGAAATTTTATTTACTTGACAATTAAAGAATCTCTTTTCAAACACAATTTTAGAATGAAAGACTACGTGAATCTCTTAATCATTTCATACGACTTTTTGTATTTTTCTGGTTACAGAAATTAGTTTCGCTGTAAAAAAAAAAATATATAAAAGATTGTATATTTTGTATCTCCTTAAAGGGGGTCATTTTTCAATGGGGGTCATTATTTTATAGGACTAACATATAAAATAATGACCCCCTAGGACCCTTTTTCTACAAAAAATGATTTTTTTTCTACCTGTGGAGGTCATTTTTTGTCGTTGAAAAATGAACCCCCGGTCATTATTTGATGGGGGTCATTATTCGTCTTTACACCGGCCTAGCCACGTGTGTTAGTGCCGTCGCCATCTTGGATTTTTGTAACTTTGTATTTTATTATGTAAGTCAATAGGGTTAACGCCTTTGTGTTTTTAGTTTATTGTTTATATACTCTTAGCGGATTAGCTGCGAGAGATTTTTATGTATTTTTAATAAAGTTTAGTGTACTTTGTTTTGTGATCTGAGGACCGGTGTTATGGACCGAGAGGTTAGCTCGTTCGGTCTTGGTAGGGGGACTTTGAGACCCGAGGGGGGTTGGTACGCTCGAGCAGTGGGGGGAGACCGGAGTGGTCTATTAGGTGCCCCGTTAGAGTGCAGCCCAGGGAAAGTCCCGCCTACTAAGAGTGTGAAGTTTGTCCCGGGTGTTGCTAGTACACCTGTGCCCCAGGGGGGAGTGCCCGAGATAAATATCCGATAATGTCACTCAGTATGGGGAGGGGGACATGTCACTCACACAGGGAGCTATTTCGGAGGGTCCAGGGGAAACACCCGGGTGGTCCGCTTTTTATTCCCTCCTCCAGGAACGTCAGCATATACTGGAGGGAGCGGTAGACCGGATCCAGGGGGAAATGGACACTGTTAATAAGAGGGTGGACACCCTGGGTCGGGATATAGGCGTGGTGAATGACAGAATGGATGCCTTTGGTCAGGATATGGGGGCCCTGAGGGGGAGATAGATACCCTTGGGACCAGTGTCACAAATGTGTCGCAGCAGCTGGGGACTATGGGGTCCGAGATAGATGCCCTTGGGACCAGTGTTACAGGTGTGTCAACACAGGTTGGGTCCATGGAGACAAGTATGGGGGGCCAGTTGGGTAATATTACTCAGATGTTGGCTAGGTTAATGAAGACCAGTCAGCCCCAGTCACCCCCACCCATGCAGGATAATAGGGTCAGTCAGCCAGTAGTGACTAGTAGCCAGGGGAGTCCTTGGGTTCCTAGCGCACTACCCGGACATCAGATGCCTGTTAGTAACCCTGTAGTGACCGCACATAGCGGGGGTATATGCCTGTCTCTGTGGGGGGGGGGGGGGGCAAGTGTACACATGTCTCAGGGTCATTCCCTATCCTCATTTGGCAATGACAGCTTAGTCTTGGGGTTGCCTAGTACTATTACTTTGGGTTTTTTTGCGTCAGGGGGGACCGATTACCCAGTGCTTCCCAGCACGGGCCCACCGGTTCCGGGTCAGGTTGCATGGTGCACCCGAGTGGGTACTTCCGCGACAATGCCCGTAGCGTCCGCGCATCCTAGTGTTGCTAACTCGAGTGGTCAGGGCGCTGGCCACTATGGTAGGTTGGTTGGGGAGTCAGTTGCATTAGGGGGTAGTCCGTCGTTTATGCCCAGTCAGGGGGGTCTGCATAATGCAGGGCAGGGTCATTCGCTAATGACCACCGCGTACCAGAGCCTATTGCCTAGCTTACTTCCCGCGGGTACCCGTAGCTGTGTGAGTAGAAATATTCCGGCCGAGGTCAAAGGGGTGAGATATAACGGGGACGTAGAATGGGGTCCGTTTTACTCGAAGTTTTCTACCATTGCCGAGTACCATCAGTGGAGCGATCCCGACTCTCTGTTTGCCCTAAGTCTTCCGTTAGAGGGGGCAGCCCTTAAGTACTTTGACATCCTCAGGCGACGAGGCGCGCTGTTTAGTTTCCGTGAGGTCGTTCTCCGGATGGAGGAGCGATTCGGTAAGACTTCCCTTAGAGCCGCCTCACAGCTGGAATTTAATTCGATCTGCCAGCGAGCGGACGAGGCTATCGAGCAATGGGGGGACAGGGTAATGGATACTGCCCAGAAAGCGTTCGGTGGCGGCACCTCGCCAGAGGTTTTCCAGGAGCAAATCATCGTCTGTTTTGCTCTTGGGTGTAATGACGGCGAGGCGGGGCAACAGTTGATTAATAATCCCCCGGGGACTCTCGAGGAGGCAATTAAGAGGGTTAAGACGTATCAACTTAGCCGTAGAGCTTTAGCCCGCCGACCGAGGGCAGTTAGATCGCTTTCCAGAGACCGAAGTCAGTCGCCGAGTTCAGGTTTTTATCGCGCCAGGTCAGACTCTGAGTGCCAAGATTTTTACGTGGCTCGCAGAGAACGCTCAGAGTCGAGGGACCGCACTAATCGTTCCAGCAGGGACCGTCCTTATCGTGCCAGCAGAGACCGTCTTCATCGTGCCAGCGAGGACCGTCCTCGCCGTGCCAGCAGAGACCGTTCTGATCGCCGCGCTAGAAGGGACCGCTCCGAGTCACCGGATTGGGATGCAGGTAAGAAACATTACTCCAGTGACTCGGAGGACCGCACCCGAAGATCAAGTCCCGAGCGAGGATCCTCGAGGGATCCGTCACCGGGTAGGGGCCGCTCTCGCGCGACGAAACCCATTATATGCTTTGAGTGTCAAGAGCCAGGACACTTGTTACGCGATTGCCCGATCCGCCAGCGACGGCGTAGATCGGGGTCCCCTAAGCCTTGCCTTAAGTCTGTAAGTAGCGAGGACGAAGACAAACATCGCGCATCAAAACATGAGACTAAAGTCAAGTTCTCTGAGCCGAATGTAAACGCGACCTATGTTATTCCGTCAGTCAGGTCATTGGTTCGGGGGCTTGGCGTATTCCGATACAGATTGGAGGCCAACAAGTACGAGCGACAATCGATACCGCAGCCGACATATCAATAATATCTAGTGACGTTTACAAGTCTTTGAGGCCGCAGCCCGAAGTTTTAAGTGACACTAATGTTAGGTTGGCTGGCGAGGGAGCCGGTATGACCGCTCAGTACCTCGGTTGTCTTAATTTACGCATCGGGGATTATGATTTTGTACACCCGATCTATGTTGGTTCTCTGCAGGATGAGATGCTCTTAGGAATAGATTTCCTGCGTAAGCATGGTGTAGAAATTTCATGTGAAGCCTGTACTTTAAGGGTTAAGGGCATTGACACTATATTTGCTATGAGTGTTGATGAGTCAGTACCAGTACTCGATGCGGTTTCAGTCCGCAGAGTGCGGATACCCCCGCACACTGCTCAGATCATCGAGAGTACCCTTAGTTCCGATATGCCAGAGTTTATGCTGGAGCCAGCCAGCATATTTCCGCCTGGTATAGTAGCTTCGCGGACATACAATACTGCAGGTAACAGAGCCAAGCTGTGTATTTTAAACATGACAGACCGAAGTCATATTGTTAAGACAGGTACTAAGGTGGGGAAAGCAGTCCCCGCCGATCTAGTAAATGACACTAAGCCCACAGTGCGTCGTGTAAGCTTTGAGGGGGATAAGACCTATGATCATATTTCTCCACTCTTAGAGCAGTTAAATAAAACCGCGCCTGTGGAAGTCAGATCCGAGGCAGCGGAGCTAGTCAAAAAGTTTGCCGACGTCTAAGTTTTTCCGAGATCGAACACCGAATAGACACTGGAAATGCGTCTCCTGTCAAGCAGCGGTTGCGACGCACCCCCGCTGTTTTTCAGGGGGAGGAAGAGGGTAATCTCGATAAGATGTTGAAAGCCGGAGTCATCAAGCCATCTTCCTCAGACTGGGCGTCTGCCCCAGTGCTGGTCCGGAAGAAGGATGGCAGCGTCCGTTGGTGCGTGGATTATAGAGCCCTTAATAAGGTGACAGTCAAGGACACGTACCCTCTGCCACTCATTGAGGAGTGCATGGACACACTAGCCGGAAACCGCTGGTTTTCCAAACTTGACGCTAATGCGGCTTACTGGCAGGTTAAGATAGCTCCGGAAGACCGGAAAAAGACTGCCTTTATTACAAAATATGGCTTATTTGAATTCACTAGAATGGGGTTTGGTCTGTGTAATGCCCCCGCGACCTTTGCTAGGGCCATAAATTTGGTGTTACACAGGCTCAACTGGAAGATAGCCTTAGCATTCTTAGATGATATACTAGTCTTAGGATCTTCAGCACACGCTCACCTTGATAACTTACGACAAGTGTTTGAGCGGTTCCGAGCATATGGCCTTAAATTCAAGCCTCGGAAATGCGAACTGTTTAAGACTAAGGTTGAGTTCCTTGGTAGAACCGTGAGCGAGCACGGAGTTGAGATGGGGGATCAGTGCGTTGAGTCAGTGCGTGACTGGCCAGTTCCACGTGATGTTAAGGGCGTAGAGCGCTTTCTTGGCTTCGCCAATTATCACCGCAGTTTCATCCCTCACTTCTCCAGAATTGCGGCTCCGCTGTATGCGGTTACCGGAAAAAGTGGTTTCCGGTGGGGTGAAGAGCAGCAAAGTGCTTTTGAGGAACTCATTCAGTTAATGACTCATCCTCCAGTTCTAGCTATACCGAACAGTACAGGTCATTTCATCCTGGACACTGACGCCTCGGATTATGCCGTAGCTGGGGAATTAAGCCAAGTCCAGGGTGGGAAAGAGAGAAAAATAGGGTATGGGAGTGCTGTGCTATCCGCAGAGCAGCGCAGGTACTGTACCACTCGTAAAGAGCTATTGGCAGTAATTAAGTTTACCAGACAATTCCGCCATTACCTGCTGGGTCGTGAGATCACAGTCAGGACCGATTATCATAGCCTGGTCTGGCTAATGAACTTCAAGCATCCGCAGAACCAGATTGCTAGATGGCTCGAGGAACTGAGCCAGTACAACATGCGGATCGTGCATCGCCCGGGAAAGAAGCATGTGAATGCTGACGCTCTGTCCCGGGACATACCTGATTCATGCCAGGGGTACTCGACGAGAATTAGGGTCGAAGACTTGCCCTGCGGCGGATGCCGTTATTGCTGCCGAGCCCACGAGCGCTGGCATGACTTTAACACTGAAATAGACGATGTAATTCCTTTGTCCCAACTCTTTGATGAGACGCCTGTGCGAGCGGGAAGTCAGAAGGGGGTAGTTATGGTTCATTAGATCCCACCCTTCGTCAGGCCATTATTTCTAGTTCTTGGGAAGATACTCCCTCGACTGTGAGTGCTTCTGCACTACCCAGTTTCCAGATTAATGTCAGTGGAGTGTCAAGTTTAAATCCCAAGATTGAGACAGTTAGTCCTCAAGTCTGTCAGGTAACAGGTGATACTGCGGGAATTTCGATATCCTCATATAGTTCCGCAGATCTAGCCCAGAAACAGAAGAATGACGAGACTATGGTATATCTTAGACAGTACTTAGAGTTTGGGGACTTACCTACCGAAAGTGACTTAATTATCTGTAGTCCGGAAGAGAAGTGCTATCTTCTGGAGCGAGTCTGTTTTCATCTCGACGAGACAGGAGTTGTTTGGCGAGAACAAGATGACTTGGATGCGCCCCGTCGGCTCCTAGTGCCGTGGAGTCTCAGATCCGAGGTCATGCACTTATGTCATGACATACCGTCCTCTGGTCACCAGGGAATTCAGAGAACTAAAGAACGCCTTAAACAGCAGTTCTACTGGTGGCAGATGACAAAGGACATTAAGTTATATGTCAAGACTTGCGACGTATGCGCAAGGAATAAGCGAGGTTCGTTGCCGAACAGGTCAGAGCTTAAGAGCTACCAAGCGGGAAGCCCGATGGAGTGGGTACACTTAGACTTTCTCGGGCCGCTTCCCCGAACTGATAGCGGGAACGAGTACATCCTTATGATGGTAGATAACTTTACCAAGTGGGTAGAGTGTATTCCGCTTCCGTCTCAAACAGCGGAAGTTACCGCTCGTTCTGCTATCAATGACTTCTTTTCTCGATTTGGCTATCCTTACGAAATCTTTACAGATCAGGGCCGTAACTTCGAGAGTGAGCTGTTCTGTAAGATTTGTGCCATGTTAGGGATACATAAGGCCAGGACCACACCCTACCGTCCGTCAGGGAATGGCCAGGTAGAGCGCCATAACCGCACTCTAATGGACGCGGTTCGTTGCTACGTAGATGGCCAGCCCAAGTCATGGGATAAGTGCTTAGGCCCATTGGCTGGAGCGTTACGTTCCGCGGTAAACCGCCATACTGGGTATACCCCAAATCGTCTCATGCTGGGTAGAGAAGTAAATATACCAGCAACCTTGATGTTCGCCCCACCGCCTTCCACGTCTTTTCAAAATGGGGAGGAGGGTGAGGTGGATACGTATGTACGTGATCTAGAATACAATGTTCAGAGAGCGCACGATATTGCCCGCGGAAAACTAAAAGTCGCGCAAAAGGCAATGAAAAGGTCGCATGACATTAAGGTCCGTACCAGTAAGTTCAAGGTCGGAGATTTGGTTTACTGGCGCCGCAATGCGGGAAAAAAGGTAGAGTCAGTATGGAGGGGTCCTTGGATAATAATAGAAACCAAATCAGACACAATATTTGTTGTAAAATCTCGGCGCGAGGTCAAGGTCATGCACCATGACAAGCTAAAAAGGTGCGAGTCCAGGCAACTCCCCAAATGGTTAATAAACTACAAGAATAAGTTACCCGGACAGTCAGTAGCCCGAGATGGGGATAGTTCCCTTGTACCTGAAGTGGTAACACCACTGGGGACCGCAGACTCAGGATTAAGTCCTGAGAGCCCGGGGAGTGGGGATCACTCAAAAGTTAGCCCCAAACCAGCGGAGTCAGTAGGTCCGTATATGGGTACTCGTAAACGGGTTAGGGAAATATTAGACCATACTAAACAGCCCCGAGCGCCCAAGAGACCTAGAGCCACTAAGGGGACTAAAACTAAGAAGTATTGTGTTTGCCTACAGTCTAATCCCAAGGGAATGATGGTGCAGTGCGACAATTGTCGGGACTGGTTTCACCCATGGTGTGTGGGTATAAGTGAGGACTATGCCAAATCTGTACCTCAATATATCTGCCCCGAATGTAGTCCCGTCAGAGTCGACACTGGTTAGTTAGAGCAGTTAGGTTTCCGCAATGATGCGGAAGCATGTGCAAGTTTTAGTTAGGTTTACATCAGGTTAGGGTAGACTTGTACATGAATTAGTTAGACATAGGTTTGATAAACTTACCTGTCTTTGTAGGTTCATAAGTGATGTCTAAGGAGATTGATGAGTTTGTCTTTGAGGGCGGAAGCTCCGCCTAGAAGTGATGCGTAGCGTATGGTTTCCGAGAGGAGCCCCTCTCGGAGTTAGGTAATCCGCATTGGGTTGTAGCTCAGGGGATTCCCCCTGAGTCGGCGGACTTGATTATACAAGCAGATGTAGCCCGCGTTGTGGGAGTGTGTAGAAACCGGAACTTTGTGTTAGGGGAGATCGGACTGGACTATTCCGGTCCGTCTACTCAGAGGTGCCAAAGGTTTGTGCTGGCGGAGTTCTTCCTCCAGGCGTCGTTCAGTACCGGGATGATACTGGCTTTGAGGGGGACCGCGGACGACCCTTTGGGCCGCGTCCCTACCCAAGATTGCCTTACACTGTTGGACGGGGTGTTCGTTCCCATCCTGGTACCTATCTTTGTCCGTGATTTCACAGGGGGACCGGAGCAAGTGAGACTCTGGGTGGAGTCTGGCCGACCCGTATTCTTTGGAGTTGGAGGCCGGATCGCGGAGATGTCCGCGACCCAGTTGTCGGGAGTTAGAGCTATTCGTATGGACCGACTGCTGGTCGAGTCGGATAGTCCTGAGTTTCCTTGTGGAGTTGAAGCGCCGATGGGCCCCAGGCACATCGGAGAAGTGTACCGACGAGTCGCCGCAGCGAGGGGACAAGATGTTGCCTTGCTGGCGGGCCTGGTTTTCAGGAACTTTAGAGTGTTCTTTGGACCTCAGTTGAGGGGACCGTTTTAGACCAGTTATGCTGTAGCCGGGACGTATAGCCCGGATGTACTTACCTGAACTTACCTGAATTGGGAGCAGATAGTCCTGATGTCTTAGCCGCACTATAGATGTCGCCCTTAGATGTACTGAGCAGAGCCTATCCAGATGTATCAACGTTGGACCACTTGGTAGATGTTAACAACGAGGGACCTCGTGGTGTTCCGAGACGACGCGGATGATGAGTGACTGTGTGATATGAACTGTTTAATTTGTGATTTTTATTACTATAGAGACATTAATGTTGAAAGCTTTATTATTGTGTGAATGCATGTATATGTATGTAAGATAGGCCCTGCTAGGAGTTAACTTTTTATTATTTGTATATTATAGTTTGTCCCATTGTATTTACTTTACGGGCTGGGACGCCCTCTTACAAAATGGGGAGGAGTGTAGTGGTCCTGGAGGAGCTGGGAACGATTTCTCTAGTAACCTCCAGATCACGTGCCCGGCAGTGATGCGGGCTATGACGTAAACCTCACTCTCTTCTATGCTGATTGTCGACCCGACAAGACGTGTTACATTGTCCTCTGTAAGTCATTGTGTAATTGTCACATATTATTGGCGACCACTAACGCAATAAAGTGCGGATTTTATACCATAGTATTTGCCTGTTTATTCCGCCATCACAGTAGTATTATGTAGATACAGGAAATACTATAGCCGGCAATTGCTCTTTGAGCAATCAGGTAAGCCCGGCGAAAAAGAAAGTAGATGAAATGGGTTTTTCCGTTTATTCTAATTTTAAATTATGAGGATTTTTCATTCATTGTTAAACACATCACGGAAAACAGGTATGCTTTCTTAACTGGCAATTTAAAACTATTAAATTATACATTAATATTATAATTAGCTGCAAATTTATATTTACATTTTTTTTTGAATTGTAAAAAGTTTATTAACTTTACATTTTTAAAAGCAACGTTACAAACAAAATGATGATGCCATCAAAGATATTTTCAAATCTACACGACATTCGAACAAATACTAGCAGTACTAACAATTTTCGTAACTGGGTTTTAATAACTCATTTGAAATCAAAGAAGTCTTTCATGTCTTTATATATTCATTTTTCTATCATTAGAATGGACCACATTCCTCGACTATCAGAGGTCCTGTACGTGGGTCTGTGTCGTAATATAGGGACACCGATAGAAGTGGCCATGAGGAGGGACGTGATGGACATGGAGGAGATGATCAAGAAACCTGTACAAATGTATAATGGATGTAGATATATAGACTCTGGTAGTTATAGGGAGGGATTTAGGTTTGATTCCTCTGATCGGGATGCAATGTTTTGGTTTCATAGCCATAAAATGATAAGCAATATTTCTCAGTCCAGCATTTACGATGTATCAAAACATACCATTATTCTAATGGAGGAATCGGATACACCGCCTGGATTTGTCAGATTACAACTTCTTACACAGCCAAGGGACAACTTTATCAATTCAGCACTTGTTTCCTTGAAGGGTATACATTATCTTTCAAATTTGTTATGGAAAGAAAAATGGCTGCAATTGAGTAAGGAAAACAATGGCTATCTAAATGTCGAACATCATGGTCCTTGTTCGACTGGTTACATTAGCCACATTGAAATTGATTTTGCTCTTTGTCTTAGCAGTGTACATTGGACAAAAATAACAAGTAATTGGATCCAACGATCTTTAAATTGTGCCTGGCCTCCTGAATATGTGTTAACTGAAATTCTGAAGGACGGTTTTCATTGTGTTGCTATCGGGGATAATATCTTATCTCCTTCCTATGAATTAGAGTGGAGATTATCGTTTTCTCAAGCCGAACAAAAATTAGTGTGTACCATGAACCATACCCAATTTTTGTGTTACGGACTCCTGAAAATATTTCTGAAGGAAGTAATCAATCACAGTATCCGCGAACCATTACTTTGTTCATATCACATAAAAACTACAATGTTCTGGATAATTCAGTTGGAAAATATTCAATGGTACCCAAACAATTTACTGAATTGTTTCTGGAAATGTTTCAAATATCTCATTCATTGTGTTTATCGTGGCGAGTTTCCCAATTTTTTCATTCCACAAAATAACATGTTTTCAAACAAACTAATTGGATCTACTCGTAGTTGTTTATTAAAACAACTTAATCAATATTACAGAATGGGCGTGTCTTGTCTTCTTCTTAGTCCGACTCTCAGATCAATCCTCAATCCAGCTCTAAGGACGCCATCGTTTGGGGTTCATTGTGTCGAGGGTCACGTTAAAACTGTTTTAGAAATAGATTTGAATGCCAGTAGGGAAATTTCTTCTGTTTCATTTACAAAAGAGACTTGTCAACAAATTGTTACACAATTGAAATCGATAGAAAGATTCTTGCAATTTTCATTTTCGCCATACCAAACAGTAACATTACAATACTGTACAGCTCAAACTCTTATTCAAATGGTGTTTACTTCGGCGCAAAGTTCTTCCTGTAGCACTCATAAAGAGACATTTGCATTAGAAAGAAAATTTTGCAACATATTGAAACTTGCTGGAAGGATAGGTTGTGTGTCTGATTTCCTGTATTTAGCTTTGTATAACTATAGTATTGGTAGTTATCATGAAACTGTTAGGTTAATCCATTTTATCAGAGAAAGACTTTCACAGCCTTTCATCTTGTATGATCATCTTACAGGTGAACAGGGATATGAAGCTGTATGTAGTCTGTCTCCGTCTGGACGAATGAAAAAGGCATGGGCAAATGACCTAATACTTAAGGTGGGTGTTTTATATATTCGAGAATTATTATTAGAACAAGAAGAAGCCGAGAAAAATGGAATGTCCCTATTTATATCTCCATTTCTTACACTAGAATGGTTGTCCGTGTTATCTTACTACAGACTAGGGAATCAATCTCTATATCAACAGTCACTGTCAGACTTAAAAACTCTGCTGTTATATGATGATGGGATGTATATATCTACACATCAGAGAGATCTAGCCTGGCAGATACTTGGGATTTGTCAGCAAATTGTTGGGGACTTACATGGGGCTTTATATTCTTATCAAGAATCTCTGAAACAGGAGCCATTCCACCAAATACAGAAAGCTACAGAAGCTAGAATAAGCTATGTTGAAAGGCAACTTCAATAGAAATTCTAGGTCTACAAGAGCTGGTGATTAGAAACAATGGAAAGAGATAATATTTAAGACATCAAAAACTTACATATGAAACGTGAAGCCAAAATTATTTTGTTCGTTAAGTTCATATACAAAATATTCAGAATAATTTTCTAATTCTTGCTTAAATTTGTTGAAACCGTTATTTGTTTTATTTAACCAGCTTATTGTCATTATTATCAACTGGTATACAGTTTTGAGTTGTTTTGCTTTTTGAACTTTGAGACATTGTTATGATTGAATCAATAAATCTTAGATAAAATCGGTTTGTTCTCATTAAAATAAAATGAAGCATTTGGTGGTACCGATGGTATAAACTTTTCAGGATGGATAAAAAGATGTCTAATGTAAAAACAAAAACTGAATTCAAATCGGAAGGGTAAGCTTCTTATTATGAGCTCTTCAAGTTTTTTTTTGTCCTAGGTCGATAACCATAAACAATGCCAAACATTTATCGATATAATTGGAATAAACTGGCATTTAAAGTGTTTCATTGATAAATAAAATACAAGTGAGGTATTAAATACTACCGTATAAGTAGAATTTTTTAGCGAGGATTTAATTTTGGCATTGTTAGCATGATTAGCGAGGGTCCTGAGATCGCTAAAATTGAATATCGCTAAAAAATAATTGCATTTTCTTTGTAATAGCTATTTAGTAAACATTTTAACCAATTTTTAAGAAGAAATTGCTATATTTGCGTCTCGCTAAAATTTCCACCTAGACGGTATTTCTTGATAATGAAATTCTAATCAATCTTCTTTACGTAAAGTTTTGAGGGAAAAGAAGGGGGGGGGTTGATGAGGACTCGGTGAACTTTTTTGTTGAACTTTGGTCTCCCTCATGATTTAGTTTGATCGTTGATAGCCCCGCTATGTCCATATATATTGAGTACAAAGTTTATGATAATTGCTTTAAAAAGACTAGATATTGACACAAGGATATCAACAGTCCCGTTTAAAGTCAAATTGTCGCAAGATCGATATTTCCTAGTATCAGATAAAAAAGTCAAAGATGCTGAGTGAACCTTTCACCCGAGAAATGCGGTGAGAGTGGTTGCATGAGGGTGATGAAACTTGATTACGTCAGGTCATTTTTTGTCATAGGGAAAGGGACAGCCAATTCTACGTAACAGGCGAAGGTCAACCATTGGAATAAATTATCAACAAAATGATAAAAAGTTAAGATTTTGCAAGAAGTTTAATATGAATCTTAAACGGTATTTTATAAGTCAAAAGGATAAAGAGGTACAGAAATGTAAGTAAAAATTCAAGTCGCAAATTGATGTTTGTAGTTGAAAATTTTGATAAAATAACAAATATGGTCAGGGCGGAGCTCTACACAGGAGTAGTATAAATGCGACGGGGAAAGATTTCACGTCAGAGAAATTTCGACGAGTTGTCTTCTCTGTTGTATTTATACAGGTAAGAGATTTTTACAAGTTTTGGTAAATAACTGTATTAAAAGCTAAGTTTCAGATTGTTAAGCTACAGCTGGCTCATTTCTTTACAGGAAAAGATATTTTATAATGTTTAATATTTCTTGAACTATTTTTTGTGTTGAATGAAGTTGTTTAAGATATAAAATGGATTGTAAAAATAAAGAGAAATTCCGACGAGTTGTCTTCTCTGTTGTATTTATACAGGCAAACCAGTTTTCAAGAGGGGTGAAATAATTAAGAGCTTTCGTAAATAATTGCATGGTAACTGGTCAACAGAGGAGTAAAAGAGTTATTCAATTGGTTTACCTCTCACTGCGGAATTAAATAAGATCCTGGTGGATAGCAAACATATGCATGATCGGCCCAATGTCATTCGGGACTCTGCCTTCCTTAACCTTTGCTGGTTGGGAAATAACAAAAATTAAGGCTTGAGTCCAGAATGAGGTTAACCCGGTTATGATAATTAAATCAAATGCTGACAGACTTTTTAGGTCACCTGAGTAAACTCAGGTGACCTATTGCTATCTGTTTTCGTCCGTCGTCGTTCGTCGTAAGTCGTTCGTAAACTTTTGAACATTTTCAGCTTCTTCTCTGCAACCACTGAACCAATTTCGACCAAAGAATCAGGGGCAGTAAGCATATGTGAGCTGCCCAATATTTTTTAAATATTTTTATACCAGTGTTATCGTTAAGTTGGTTTATTTTTCATATATCGAGATGTCCAGTTTGATGGAAATAGCAATAAAATTTTCAACATTTGATTTGTAGTTGAGTTATCACCATGTGAAGTTGGGCGATTTTTCCGGAATTGAGAAATTTCCATCGAATTCTCACATTCCAAACAAGATTTAGATATGGCCGCACGCAAACAACAGAGTAAAAATTTAATAGATTGTTTAAAATGGCACAATTAATTATATCCCAAAATATCATTCTGTTGCTTGCATGCGGCCACCCTGAAAAATATATAAAACGATGTTTTTCGAGGCCGATTTCGATCGCTTCCGGTTTCGGTTTTTATATTCAGACGTAAACAAAGTTGGAGGAAACAGAAAATGTGACAGTAGATTTATCGAAGTTCTAACCATTTAACAGGTAGGGATGAATTGAAAATCAGAGCAATTGTAATTTTACATGCACTGTTCAAAATTAAGTCCCCTCCTATACTTATTAAAATTTTATGATAGAAGATTCGACATGACAGACTCCGCCAACTCCATGAACTCGGGGGGACGGTAATCTTCACATGCATGTCAAACAGTTGAAAATAGAAAATGTGTAACTAATACATCAAACAGGAACACAACATGCTATCTTCTTTCAAAGAAAAAAATAGATTATAAAAAAAAATGACTTAATCATCGATTCTTTTTTATTTAGGCCCTAGTATTCATGATTCATTCATATGGGTGCAAGATGTTTCGGGACCCCGACGTTTCGGGACCTAGGTATTACGAGTTGTGAAAATCTTTACATATACGGCATTAAAATATAAATATACTACATTTCTAGGTTGGGGTTTATAACATATTTTTCTGTCTGAGTACAAATACAACCGAATCTAGCCTTACACTGGTACCTGTGTACTTTGTGTAAATGTATGGTGTGCTATAACAGTCAAAAATAAAAAAAAAATGGCAAAAAGTTTTTTTTTTATGTTAAACCATTAAAGAAATAAAAAAAAAAATGTTTCTTAAAAATAAGCTAACATCACTAAATCTAATTAAGGTTCTTTGCAGAATAAACAATATAAATTCTTTCTATTTTTTCTTGTGGGAACAATGTATTTTTGTTGTTTTTTTTAACTTATTAATTAAAATATTATTCATGTAAAATTAAACTTTTGTCAGTATTAAAAAAAATAATTAGATTACTGCAGTACCTTGGAATATTATGAATTCATTTAAATCACCATTTAAATGAAAAAAAAAAATGTTTGTCATTACAAGGTTCATCTTTTTTGTTTTTAGTACCCATGAATAATGTCATTGATTCAGATTTTATTCATTAAACTCAAATAAGTAAATCAATAAAACTGTTATTTAAATTGATTTCATGAATGAAATAATTGTATATTATACCTCGTGATACACGTATAAATAAATTATTCCCTTTTTCTCATATATAAATAAAATCTTATGCAAATGTATATACACTGTACAAGTAACCCCCTTCATTCCATAGTTATAGACAAAATGTGCATAGTTACATAATATATATAGTAATTTAATTTTGATATTTATATTTTAATTGTAGGATGCCTGGAGATGGTCCAAAACAATATCCTGTTACTGGAGCTGTTACTTGTTAGTATTGTCAGTGTCGTGCTGGACCCAGAGTTGTCGGGGCATGTGCCCATGTGGCCTCAGTATTGTGGTTTCTTGGCTATGAAAGACACACAAACTTTGCAGTAAGACCTATTCAAGACTGGGCTGATTACTTGAGGATGCAGCTGTGCAACCTGCAGTAATGGATGGCTCATCAGAAAGTGAAATGAGTGCAATGGAAGAGTGACATGAATTGTGACATTGGTTTATTGATAGTAAACATTATTGAGAGTGAACATTCTGCAGATTATAGGCGTCTCCATATGAATGAAAATTCTCAAGAGGGACGTTAAACAATACACAATCAATCAATCAATCAATCTGCAGGTTATGTTATCAACTGCATTAGACTCCCATTATTGTTTTCAACAATATAGTGGAAGGCTGTGTATATATTGTTATTAATTAATTGTAAATAGGGAGTTTTATGTATATACGATTTTTTTTATGTTTAAATTGTGATTTCTTAATATCTGTTATATAATTGAGAAATTAAAATATAGTACATTGTACATCCCAAAAACATAGTAGATTCATTGCATGAGTTTAATAAGTTTGGTTGTAAATATTGAAAGGTGAATTATGTACTTTGACAAATGAAATGATTTGTTATTATCATATGATTAATTGTTATCAAAATTAATATACTGATGTAAAATGCATAATGCATCACAAAATGTTTCTCAGATAATAGTAACAATTATAGTTTATTATGCAATGTGTTTATTTGCATATTGAACTTTGTTAATAATTAACATGACTATATACAAGTACTTGTTATTTTTTGTAATACAATGTGATTACAAAACCTTTCCAGACAAACATGTAGTAGAATAACTAATTCTTTGATGCTTAGGTCATTTTTATGACATTGTGAGGATGATAAACATTATCTTATTATGAGTAAATGTAGTGTATAAGGCATTGCAGTGTATAAGGCATGAGTGGTGTGATGTTTAACTTCTATGATCTTTTTGGTAAAAGTATAGGTGGATGATGGGAGTTCTGGAATTTGTTTATGCAAAATAAAATCCCTTATTGTTATTTTTGTCAAGTTTAATGAATTGTTATTAAAAATGTTAGTTGAATACATTTCTTGTTTGTTCACTTTGTGCATTCAATGTATTTTTATGTGAAATACATACAAGTAAATTCAAAGAATTGTGGTCCCCTGCTTTCGGTGTCTTTGTTAGTGAGATGTTATTTTTTGTATGACATATTGTGTCTAATATGAACCCCCTACCATATGTCATTTATTTAGAAATTATCATTGAAGTTGATTTTTTTGAAGGATGAAAACCCTAATCCTGACTGTCAAAAACTTATGGCCAAAGTGAGAGTTTTTAAAGTAGGTCAACTCCAAGGTCAAGATCAAAGGGTCAAAGTTGTTGATATCCAATGAAAGGTCTTCTCACAAGAATTACGTATGTGAAGTATGAAAGTCCTAG